CCAAGTAACAACAACAACAAAAAATCTACCCTGAGTTCATTTAGATACTATGTTACTGACTTATTTGCTGTGTTTGTGTTAATATTTTAAAATCCTCCTTTTGTTACTTTGTAAGTAACTCAGGGAAGCAAACGTACATAATACTCCTTCTGGCCTCCTGTTTTCCCTGCAATATCAACCCCGTGAAATGGGTTGAGCTGAGAGAGCGACTGGCCCAAAGTCACCCTGGCCAAGGTTCAGTAGTTGACTTACATGCACTTTGGAAACCAAGAGAAGAACGGCGCTCCAGATTTGGTTCTTAAAATGGTTTCCCCAAGTAAAGCATGTGCTCAAAGTTACAATGTGCGCATGAGTCCAAAAAGATAAATAAATTATCAGAGAAAGCAAACCAAAACATAAACTTAACGTATTTTTTCGGGGTATAAGATGTAACCCCCCCCCCCCCCGAAAAGTGGGTGGAAATGTCTGTGTGTCTTATACAACAAATGTTGCCAAAGCCCCGCCCACCCACCCCCGCCCCCACCCTTCAGCCTCTGACTCCCAGCAATTTGCCTCCTTGCAGCAAACAGCCTGACCACTTCAGCACAGCCTGATGAGCACAAGCAGCTGATGGTTGGATCGGCCTCCCAATGATCAGCTGTTTCAGGCTGCAGGGATTGCCATCGCCTATTGCTGCCTCTGCACGCCCCATTTTTGGCCTCCACATCCTGTTTTTGGCCACCGCCCGCCCCGTTTTCTGCCCATTCTGGGTGGGAAGAATCTGAACAAGTGGAAAACGGGGTGCGCGGAGGCCAAAAAGGGGGCACAGAGAAGTGGCAATAGGCGATGGCAATCCCTGCAGCCCGAAACAGCTGATCCAACTCATAATCAGCTGCTTGTACTGATCAGGCTGGGCTGAAGCTGAACAGGCTGTTTGCTGCAAGGAGGCAAATTGGTGGGAGGCCGAGGCAGGTTTTTTTTTTCCTCCTTGTTTTCCTCCTCAAAAGCTTGGTGCGTCTTATACTTCAGAGTGTCTTATGCTCCGAAAAATACGGTATGTTAATCTTCCATGTGTGTCTATTGTATATACAAGAGCTGGGTGTTATGCAGTAATTAAGTTGTTGCCAGACCAAATGCAAAGAGGCCCATCTTCTAATCCTCCCCAGGCACGGAAAGTGGCTGGGTGACTTTGGGCTAAGTGCTAACTCTCAGCTGCAGACTTGGAAGTTGAAAAACATCTATCTACCAACATCTGTCTGTCTGTGGACCAGTATAACTTTCCATAAAGAGGCCTTCACCCTGCAGCTGGATCAGTTTGGGCTGGTGCACATACAACATTTCAGAAGTGCAATATGTCTTACCAGAAATAGGGAGACCATACCCAACTATCTTGTGTTGCTACTTCATCTCCTGTTCAGCTGCTATCTCCTAATAGGGATTTTACATCCCCGTTTTCTTACCTCTAAATCAGCTTTGAAGTTCACATAGAAGTTACTTTCCAACAGAAGATTCTCCTCTGGCAGGCCTTTTAAGAGAACTGGTCCAGTTTTTAGGATACCACTGACCTACTAATGCACTTAGGAGAGAATATGTGAGTGGATAGGGAAATAGAAATAGTTCATGAAGTTTAAGTATAAATATTGTAGTAGCTCCTTCTGCAAATGGAAGGGTAGAGTCCCTTTGGTTTTTTACACAGAGTGTGTGTTTTTGTTTTAAGTGGTTCTTGTGTAGAGCACCTGAAAAGAAAACATACAACCATAACTTTCAGAAAATTGGCAGTGGGAACAGGGTGTGGTTAAAGCTTACCATATATCTTCTAATTTGTGCTGCCAAAGGGCCTAAGGTATGACATGCAGAAAAAGAATAAACCTTTGTTTGTTTTTTGGGGGACAGGAACTGATCTTAGGGTGGCATGTCTGTTTCATGGTCTCAACTCTGTTAAGATAAAGCCCCTAAAATGCATTTTAATGAAATCAAATTAGAAAAACAAGGGGATAACATTACAGCTATAGAGTGAAAACACACCACATTAAAGCCGCCTTACATATTACATAATTAAGCAAGATTTAATTGGGGTGAACATGGGGAACTCATTCTGGCAGCCCACAAATTTTCATGTAGGATTTAGCTAGGAAAAAAATATACAACTACTGTGTTGCTTTGGATCAGTAGCTGTAGGTGAGATTTAGGAAGTAATGAAATCTAGACGGTTGCTTCCACAGGGCAAAGAGGCTATATGCGCCTCTTTAAACACTGATTCACCCCAGACACATCTCCAGGGAATTATAAAAGGCTGGAAGAATGCATAAGCAGGGAGGAGCATAGACCCTTGGTTCTCCCTGCAGCCCTTTTCCCATTTGAGGATCTTTGCTTTGATGTCAGTTCCCTTCCAGTATGTGGGGGGGGGAGGAAAACAAATAAGGAAAAGCACCTTCCTTCTTATCTGCATAATGAGTAACTCAAGGGCAGAGAGGCTCAAGAAACTTTCCATTATGTTATGTCTTGAATTTAATAAAATGAGTGCTGGATTGAAACTTCCGTAAACCTGAACAAAAGCTCGCTCTCCCTCCCTCCCTCTCTCTGTCTCTCTCTCCCTCTCTCTCTCTCTTGGTCTCTCCCTCCTCTGTGTCTCTCTCCCTGTCTCTATCTTCCTGTCTTTCTCTCTTTCTCCCTCTCTCTCTCTCCCTTCTCGGTCTCTGTCTATCCCCCTGTCTCTCTCTGTGTGTCTGCTATCCATATCAGCAGTGATCCTGACTTTGACTACAGGGAAGGGATTGGAATCAGGTGTTTGCTGGAAAAAAAAATCCCCTTTTCTGCCACCTTTAATAAAAGCTTAATGCTGACTCAGGGTTCTGAGAAAGGTGTCCTGAGTTAGATTTGCTGTGTGGTTTCTGTAGATTAAACTCTGTGTGTTTTATGTTTCTCAGTGAATCCGCTATAGATTCATCTACCTGTGCACACAAGTAGATAAATAAAGAGATAAATTGTCTAAACAAACCTTTTAGCAGCTTACAGCTCTGTATATATAATCAAATCACCAAATAGTTAACAGGCTAATACATGGATGTAATAAAAGTCGGAGGTTGAAAGAGGGCCGTTATTGATGGGGAGCAAGCCTTTAAATTCCATTAAATTGATGTCACTGGATGAATTTATGGCTCTCCCTCTGCATCCTGCATAACTGATGCTCAATGATTTTTTTATGCTTAGGAGCTTATTGCATATTTCATGCATGTAAATGTATACCTCGAAACAAGTCCTGGGAATAGCTGTGTTAATCTGCATTTTATTTCTAATAACTTCTCACCAAGGATTCACTTCTAGCTGATAGTTGAGAATTACGTTTTCCCATCTTCCTTCTCTCTGAATAATCCTTGCCAATCTGTATGTTATCTCCTTGCAAATTTGCTGCTTGGAAAAGCATATGGTGAGTCGAGCGACGCAGCAGTAAATTTTCTCACCTACATTTTAAAGCCTTAAAACTTTTAAACCCTTTAAAGAAAAAGGTTGATAGCAAATTAGATCCATTTCTGTCCTAAACGAAGCCAAAAGAAATAAGGACATCTATTTCTATGGCATTCTTGCTTCACTTGCTGACTTTCCCTTGTCTATTCTGAAGGAAAGAGTATGTTTCTAATTGGAAGTCCCAAAGGTGCTTTTTCAGGAGGCAACTGGATTTTCTTGTTTTTTTTTCTTTTGAAAACGTTTTGCTTCTCATCCAAGAAGCTTCTTCAGCTCTGAGAGGATACTGGGGAATGGAAGGGAATGAAAAATCCTGCCAGAGCTGAAGAAGCTTCTTGAATGAGAAGCGAAATGTCTTCAAAAGAAAAAAACAAGAAAGTCCAGTTGACTCCTGAAAAAAAGCACCTTTGGAACAGCCATGACATCCTGGATGGCTGAAAATCTCTACAGACTTTCTAATTGCAAGTTTCTTCGGTGCTGTGTGTAAGTTCAAGTTTTTAAGTGGAAAATTACATAGACTGAACCAGAAAGCTGAACCAGAAAAGGCTAGTCTGTATAAAATACTCATAAGAACTGCTGTGTAACACATCCTTTGTAATCTTGCACACAAAAGCTGTTTCCTGGTTGCGTGTGTGTGCATGTATGTGGCAAAGGGAACAATTCTGCTGGGGCTCCCATCAGGAAGGATTATATGTGCCTGCCCAATCACCCAGGCTTCAAGTCAGCTAGTTGGTTTGCAGGAAGAGAGTTTCCCACATGCTGACATGTTTTGCATGTTATCCTTTTTTTTCAATGAAGGCCACAGCAAAGTTATGTCAAGATTTCATTGACAAGACAGAACAAACAGCATGGCCTTTTGACCAATTCTTAACAGAGACGTGACTATAACATTAACCTCGTCTAGCTTAAGTAGTGGCTAGCAAGACAAGACCCAGTCAGTGTCCAGGGTTTCGTACGAATCTAGCTGTCAAATAATTCAAATTTTGCTTGATTGACTCTATTGTTTCTGCCATTGTAATACTTAACAATAGCTTCTACTATTCTTGTGATTCTGACAAATTGCGAGTCCCTGAAGTTTAAAAATTTATGTGGGGCATTTCTTTAATTATGTGGCTTAATTGGACAATTCATGCAATTCCTGATAAAGGGCCACGACGTGTCACCCGGGCCTTGTTTTGCAGTCATAGACTGACTTATATTTGTTGCATTTGGAGAAATGTATCATTACATAATTTGGAATTATTCTGTACAAATGTTCAGATATCCATATGGACCTGACAGATGTACAACTTATCTGAGATTTGAGAAATAAAATGAAAAAGAGTGGTTTTTTTTTTTTTTCATTTAGTGGAATACTAAAATGCCACGAGACAGCACTGAACATCATGAAGTGTTCACTTAGTCCTAAGGATTTTCTACTTGTGTATTGGAATTTTTGAGAACAACCACAGAAGATGATATAATTGAAAACACTCTGGAAGCTGTTTCTCATGTGTAATTTTGTGAGACATTTGCCCTATTCGTATTGCTTTTTTAAAATTAAAGTCTGTCTTTTACAGAACAAAGCTGAACTATAACTCTCCCAAGGATGATGGATCTGTGTATAAAATTGAACTTGAAGGGATATCTGTGGATACCATGAAAGAGATTCTGGACTACATCTTCAGTGGTCAGGTATGTGTTACTAATACTATTCCTCCATATATCTTCAGGAATATTGTGTATGCACATATGTGTATCCAGTCACAATTCTGTCCATGTCTGCTCAAAAGTTAGTCTACAGCTGTAAGTTAAATCTCTTAGGAAATACGTTCATAAAGCAGAAGTATTTCACAATGAATCCTGGCCAGTTTCTGATGGATCTCCTGGTGGATCACTGAAAACTTTGTGAAGCTAAAGTAGACTTGGCCCCAATTTGTCAAATAAATACTCCTTTCGTTCTTAAGCATCAGTGTGATCGTTCAAAGAGATCATGCTTTTATCTATTGAATTCTGCATATACTCTAGCATCCATTAAGAAAATGCAGCTGGAGGAAATTGGAGGTCCAAGTGGGGAACCTCACTTCTGCAACAGCCAACCAAACACTTTGCCGAAAGTTGCAAACCCTATGGGACATCTGCTATGTGTTCTGTGACTCTGAAAGCCAACTTAGAAATAGAATAACAGAGTTGGATGGGACCTTGGAGGTCTTCTAGTCCAGTCCCCTGCTTAGGCAGGAAACACTACACCACTTCAGACAAGTGGTTATCCAATCTCTTCTTTAAAACTTCCAGTGTTGGAAGCATTTACAACTAACTTCTGGAGGCAAGTTGTTCCACTGATTAATTGTTCTAACTGTCAGGAAATTTCTCCTTAGTTCTTAGTTGCTTCTCTCCTTGATTAGTTTCCATCCATTACTTCTTACCTCAGGTGCTTTGGAGAATAGCTTGATTCCCTCTTCTTTGTGGCAGCCCCTGAGATATTGGAACATTGCTGTCATGTCTCCCCTAATTCTTCTTTTCATTAAACTAGACCTACCCAGTTCCTGCAACTGTTCTTCATATGTTTTAGCCTCCAGTCCCCTAATCATCTTCGTTGCTCTTCTCTGCTCCTGTATTTCATGACCTAGCCAGTAAAAATGTGGGTCTACTGGAGAAGAAGAAAGTCTATGGGTCTTGCTACAACAGGTTCACATGTCCTTTTGTATTTTTCTAGCACTCCACTTTTACCTGTTTATTAATCTAAAAGTAAACCAGGAAAAATCAGCTAGGTCAGTGATAGCGAACCTTTTTGTTGTGATGTGCCAAAAGCACACTCCTGCCAGCACCCTCAATGCAATGCACTCCACACATGCGTGTGCAACACCCCTGTCCTGTCCCCTTACCTGCATTGTGTATGCATGCGCCTCCCAGTTGATTTTTGGCCCATTTGAGTCCGTTTTCGCCCTCCCAGAGGCTCAAGGGAAGCCTCCGCAGCCTCGGGAGGCCAAAAAATGAGGCTTCCAGAAATACCGGAAGTGCCCGTTTTCAGCCTCCAGGGAGCCTCTGGAACCCAGGGGAGGCTGTTTTTGCCCTATCGGAGACCCGAGGGAAGCCTTTGGAGCCTTGGGAGGCTGAAAACAGGGCCGTTTCGGCACTTCCAGTATTTCTGGAAGGCCTATTTTTCAGCCTCCCAAGGCTCCAAAGGCTTCCCTCGAGCCTCCAATAGGGCGAAAACAGCCTCAAATGGGCCGAAAATCAGCTGGGAGGTGCGCACATGCGCAGTGCAGGTAAGTTTGGCTGGGGCTCGTGTGCCCGCACAAATGGCTCTGCATGCCCCCTGTGGCGCACGTGCGATAGGTTCGCCATCACGGAGTTAGGCGCTTATGTAGGAAGCTATCTGGCATTTGACTCAAGCCTTCGTCATAACCGGCCGCACTTTTCTGCCTTGACCCCTAGATCAAGCTAAGCGAAGAGACCATCCAGGATGTGGTACAAGCTGCTGACCTGTTGCTGCTTACCGACCTAAAGAAGCTGTGTTGTGAGTTTCTGGAGGGTTGCATTGCTGCGGAAAACTGCATTGGCATTCGGGACTTTGCGCTACACTACTGTCTACTCCACGTTCACTACCTGGCCTCGGAGTACCTTGAAACGCACTTCCGGGACGTCAGCAGCACGGAAGAATTCCTAGAACTCACTCCTCAAAGACTCAAAGAAGTGCTGTCTTTGGAGAAGTTGAACGTTGGGGATGAAAAACATATTTTTGAAGCAGTCATTCGGTGGATTTCCCATGATCCTGAATTAAGAAAGGTACAGGGCTCAAAAGTTACCTTTAAGAGGTTTGGATAAAACATACAGCATTTGCTCCTGTTGGTTTATTTGGATGCTTCTAATGTGGGGTGTTTGGCTCCCTGCTTTGGAACATGGTCATGTCATGTTTGCTCTGCTTTGAGTTTCCTTGCTCCTGTAGTTCAGTGGTCACCAACCGGTGGGCCGGGGACCACTGGTGGCCCATGAGAAAACTTTGGTGGTCCGCAGAGAAATGTCACCCCCAAAGCAATTAATCCAGGCTGAGCGGGGACACAAGGCTGTGCCGCCACATGACCCACGGGAACACAAGGCTTGCGTTGCTTGCATTGTGAACAACACGAGGTAGTGAGGGGAGGAGAGAAAGAGTGGAGGGGGGAACTTGCCCTACTCGCCCCACATGCCTGGCCTGGCCACCGGGCTGCTTTTTTCCGTTTCTTTCTTCTGCTGCTTTTGGCTGCACGCAAGGAAAGCAGCAAAAGTCTTTCTTTCTCTCCCCCAAACTCCGCCAGAAATGAGTCTTTGGGACCCTGCAAGGCCTCCTACTCCAAGAGGCTGTGCCATTCTGGCAGAGTTTGGGGGAAAGAAAGAAAGACTTCTGCTGCTTCTGCTGCTTTCCTTGCATGAAGCCAAAAGTCTCTCTCTCTCTCTCTCTCCCTGAGAACAGAGCTGGAGATGGTATTCTGTGATCCCGAATAAAGAATGATTGATCGGTAGGAAAATGGGGTGGAGAATTTTCCTGCAGACGTTTTTTGGGATTTTCCCAGCGTCTCTGGTCCGGGAGATTTAAAATTATGAGTTTGGTGGTCACAAGTCCAAAGGGTTGGCGACCCCTGCTGTAGTTCATACATCATCCTCTACAGGTAGTCGACCTACGAACAGAATTGAGCCCCAAATTTCTGTTGCTAAGCGAGACATTTGTGAAGTGAGGTTTGCCCCATTCTGCGACCTTTCTTGCCACAGTCATTAAGTGAATCACTGCAGTTGTGATGTTAGCAGCACAGTGGTTAAGTAAATCTGAGGTCTCCGTTGACTTTTCTTGTCAGAAGATTGCAAAAAGGTGATCGCATAACCCTGGGACACTCTTACCCGTTGTAAGTATGAGTCAGCTGCCAAGCGTCTGAATTTTGATCATGTGACCATGGGGAAGCTGCAATGGTTGTAAGTGTGAAAAACAGGTGTAAGTCACTTTTTTCAGTGCCATTGTATCTTTGAACGGTCACTAAAACGAACTGTTTTTAACTTGAGGACTACCTGACCTCCAGGATATCAGCAGTCTTTATTCACTCACTGTCAAATATATCTTCTTAGCTACAAAACCAAGACTCTTATCTAAAGACTGAACAGTAGGAATACAAGAAAGCTGAATTTTGTCATAAAGTCATATTCTCCAGTTTAGCAGGATCTGAGATTTTTACAACCATTCAACTCATAAATAGACTCTACTATTTCTTGTCTTCTTTCTTTTTTCCTTTTGGCACATCCCTGCCCCCATTGTCTCCATTCTGTTCTGACCAAGGCTTCCCGAGACTGTAATTAAGCACACGCTTAGTCCAAACAACTTTTGTTTTATTTCAACACTGGGAATTATGTTCATTCCCGGCCAGTAATGAGTCCAAAACAATCCCTCGAGATAAGCACCCACCTTTCTCTCCTTTGAATTGTTGCCAACAACTAAGGGCCAAATTAACTGTAAAAAAACAAACGAAGTTCAAAGTCGACACAGAGCTTCCAGCTTTAATCCGAACAGAGCGAATGACTTTGCTTCCTGCAAAGGTTTCTCTACCTTTGCACTTTTAACTCTTAGGAGAGGGGCAATCACCTCCAATCCTTACTCCCGAATCGCCTCTTTTGTCTCCGCTGCTCCTCTAGCAGCTCTGCGCACACGCACACTGGGAACAGGCTCCCCTTGTTCCTCTGCCTGGCTGCTGCCAGACTCTGGAGGCTCCAGAGTCAGCACGCCACTCCCAGATGGTCCTGGCCCCATCTCTGCATTGGATGCAGGTCCTCTCCAGACTCCTGGACTGTTCCCTGTTCTTCCCCGTTGCCCAATTCCGCTGCCATCTGCACAGGCTGCTGGCAAACGACAGCACATTCATTACAAGAGTTAGTAGTTGGAACCATTTGTTCTCTACTTTGGACAAGGCCCCTGCTTTGGCCTACAATTGCTAAAACTTGGTGTAGAATTTCCTACCATTTTGAGATAGCTCGAAGTTGCCTCTCTTCCTGCGAAAGTCTAATTAACAGGGAATTTTAAGCGCAAACTTTAAAGCTCAGGATCATTTTGTGAACTTCCGTTATCTTTGTGGCTCTCCAGGTTCATATGAAGGATGTTATGTCGGCTGTGTGGGTCACTGGATTGGACTCTACTTACTTGCGTGAACAAATGATGAATGAGCCATTGGTTCGGGAGATTGTCAAAGAATGTAACAACATTCCACTCACCCCACCCCAGCAAGAGGAGGCGATGCTGGCTTCTTTTAAACCCCGAGGATACTCGGAGTGCATCGTGACTGTCGGAGGTGAAGAAAGAGTGTAAGTCATTCAGGGAAGCGGCGGCTGCGGGTCTCATTGGCAAGGGAAGGAGTCAGAAAGACAAAAGAAGACATAAATTTGACATAAAGGTCAAACACTCCATCAAAGAAACGTTTGACATTGATGTAGCAGAGAATAAACAGATCTTAAGGGTTGAATGGTTGGGTTGTCGCTGACCTGACCTTACTTTTCTTGCAAAAATGTTTCATTATCAAGCTAAGTCCATCATCGGGTAGACTACTGATGTCACCTGGCTTGGTAACCAAACATCTGCAAGAAGAAAAGCAAGACTGGAAAAGAGCAAGAACCCAATGAGCTTGAGAATTATGGGTTGTTTTGAGACACTTATCACTCAACGCGGGGTTAGCTCCATGTCTACCGTCAAGCCAAAGTCTGGGAAAGTCTTGGCAGCTGCCGGTCAAGCTGACTCGTCTCGCCTTTTTATATTGAAATAATGTTTAGAAATGGTGAAATGCCACGTTGTGGCCAAAGTGTCCATATTTTACTTCCAGAAAAGCTTTTGGGTCTAAACCTTTGTAGAAAACTATAAAGGATCATATTTATGGGTTATATTTAATGATCAAGATGCATTAGGTGAATTGTAATCTACCATATCCTTCCCTCCCCCCCCCCCAAAAAAAAATATTGGTTAATTTTCTAACCAAAATGATAAGGTGGAATAATTTCATATCAAAATAACTGAGTTCTTCTCCTGGATTTTCTTTCTCTATTCCCTCCATCCCAAATAAAAGTGTTGTGTTCTGATTGAGATTTGTTTTATAGCCAGGAATCAATTATTTCCCCCCCAAAAAATAAAGCTTTATTTGGGAGTGGTTTATCTCAGCTTCTTACTGTCTTTCCCAGTACTGATTAATCTGTGAATCGTATTGGAGGCCAAGTCTTTCTGAAATATTTAAGAGAGAGAGAGAGAGAGAGAGAGCATTTTTAAAATTGTTTAGCAATGAATTGTCCAATAAAGATGAGTTAATTTCTGCTTTTTCTTTCTATTCAGCTCCAGGAAGCCTTCAGCTGCAGTGCGATGCATGTGCCCTTTGTATGACCGTCACAGACAATTGTGGATAGAGCTGGCTCCTATGAGTACACCCAGGATAAACCACAGTGTGCTTTCTGCAGGTAGGAAATCTGGTCCCCCCCTTCCCTTGAATGAAAAAGGGTACAAAAGTTTTAAATATTTGCAAAGTCAAATAATCTTTTAGCTACTGTCAGTCAGATCCTGGGCAAGTATTAACCTGTGAATAATTAACTTATCTCTCGTTTAGAGGAAAAACCATAGAGGGAGGGAGGGAGGAGGAGGAAATGCCAGACACATGTGGTATATCAAATAAATATTTGATGAGGTGACCAGTTTTTGACTAATAAATACAAGCCACTGTTCAAAAGAGATCAGTGGAAAATGTTATGTATTTATAGCTTTTCTGAAGTTTATCTATCCTTTTGCTATTGTATTCTAACAGGTATGATAGGTTTTCACCAAAATACATTTTTTTGCTTCCATTTCCTCTAGCAGCCTCTCCAGAGGGTGCATACTTGTGGAAGTTAGAACAGGCAAGATTGTAGACACAGCATCACAATTGGATTCCTGACATTTTGTATGCACATATGATGTAGGTACAAGTATAAAAAAGGTTGCGGCTTAGAATTGCAATATTGTGGACTATCTGGCCATTTTGGAGATGCTGTCATTTCCCACTCAGACATTGTATACAAGGAAGTGCTATAAACATGTACATCCTTGTCTTAGAGGAACTCAGTCACATTGTATGTATTTTACTATTTTTTAAAATTCTTCGTTGACTATGAATATAATCAGAATACAGAACAACAGAGTTGGAAGGGACCTTGGAGGTCATCTAGTCCAACCCCCCGCTCAAGCAGGAGACCCTAGACCATTTCAGAAAAAATGACTGTCCAGTCTCTTCTTAAAAGCCTCCAGTGATGGAGCTCCCACAATTTCTGAAGGCAAGCTGTTCCACTGGTTAATTATTGTAACTATCAAGAAATTTCTCCTTAATTCTAGGTTGAATCTTTTCTTGATTAATTTCCATCCATTGCTTCTTCTCCCACTCTCAGGTACTTTGGAGAAGAGGTTAACCCCCTCTTCTTTGTGGCAGCCCCTCAATTGCAACACTGCTACCTTGTCAGCCCCTCAATGTCTTTTTCACTAGACTTAGACACACCCAGTTGCTGCAACCGTTCTTTGTATGTTTTAGCCTCCAGTCCCCTAATCATCTTTGTTGCTCTTCTCTGCACTCTTTCTAGAATCTAAACCTCTTTTTAATAACACACCCTTTCTTTCCTGCCTTTTTTTATATGTAACTCAAGACAGCAAATATCCCTAATACTCCTTGTTCCTCCTATTTTCCTCTGGAGTCGCCCAGCCAGCATTCATGCTTAAGGGAGGCTTAGAACTGAGTTTACTAGGCCAGCTCATCATTACTACACTAAACTGGTTCTTTTACTCTTTTGATGTAATCCTTTTGTCCTTATACATTTTCTTGACTGCCTAACAGAAACTCGTTAAACATCTTAGAGCCAGTAATTAGGTATATACATTATATCCAACCATAGTTTTCTTAACTACGTTTAACAAACTACAGTGGCTACGTTCACAAAACATACTAAGCCAAACTCAAGAAGATAAATGAATAGTTTAGTCTGATGTTCAGTTAGGTGCCCACTACATCTGCTGGGTTATTATTCACTCATGCCTATTGAAATAGTTGCAGATGTAGTCCAGCATACCAATTTTCACGCTCATGAGAAGAAGATCTGGGCAGAAATGTTCTGGAATGGTGCAAATTGATTAGGCTGTAAAGTCGGGCTCACTTCTCATACCCAACGTGGTTTGGCTGGGCAGGAATCATATTGCCGGCTAGGAAGAAGAGCGCCTGAAGATAGGACAAGAAGTAATGGATGGAATCTTACCAAGAGAAATTCAACTTAGAATTAAGGAGAAATTTTCTGTCAGTGAGAACAATTAATTAGTGGAATGACTCGCCTCTAAGAGGTTGTAAGTGCTTCATCACTGGTGGTTTTTCAGAAGAGATTGGCCAGCCATTTGTTTCCTGCTGAGCAAGGGGGTAGGACGAGGAGATATCTCTGGTTTCTTCCAATTCTGTTATTAAAACCTGAAGATGTAGTCCTTTCAATAGTTTCTGTGATTTAATTCCAACGCTTCTTTCTCTCACCAGTTGTTGATCGTTCTTATAAAATGAATGTTATAGCTTGATGTGCCACCATTATGACCTGTGTTTTGAAATATCTCTTTATGGCTTGTTTCTCAGAGGGGTTCCTGTTTGTCCTGGGAGGTCAAGATGAAAACAAAACTACCCTGAATTCGGGCGAAAAGTACGATCCAGATGCAAATACGTGGAGCCCCTTGCCACCGATGACTGAGGTAGCTTTCGGTTTCTGCGAACGGTGTAACTGTAGCTGCTGATGCGCTCCATCGCTTGTGTTGTAACCTCACGAAATTTGCGGAACTGTATGATTAAGAGTTGGTTCTTACACCTCGTATTTCCAATAGGCCCGGCACAATTTTGGTCTGGTCGAGATTGATGGGGTGCTGTACGTTTTGGGAGGTGAGGATGGAGAACAGGTGCTCACTTCCATGGAGTCCTATGACATTTACAATAGGACATGGACAAAGCAACCGGACTTAACAATGATTAGGAAGGTAAGAGGCAAGCAAAAGATAAAAAGCAAGCTGGTCGTATTTCTTTCTGAAATTACTGTACCGTATCTCTTTTTTTTTTCCCCACCCCTTTTTTCTATGTGTTTTTTTTAAATAAAAGAATACTACCAATTATAAGTATGAAACAATAAGCTCTGGTTTCCTCAGTTTCCCTTTCTGTGCCGTTCCCCAATCCTCAAGAGTCTATTTCAAAAAAAAAAAAAAAAGATGCACTTGAATTAAGAGGTTTTAAATCTCTTTGGGGCTTAGTGCCAAATTTCTCCTAAAAGAGACCATAAGGTACTCATTGCCATTACACAGATTGAAAACCAAATGAAGCAATTGCTTCTGCAGGAATTACAGCATCTAATAAACAAGGGACAAGAGAAGGTAAGTGAGGAAGAAATAAAGGAAAATTAAGTACTGATTTAGGAATTTATAAGTCAGTCATAAAGTTTCCCAGAGTTGTTGTGAGTTGGCTGTCCTCACAAATATATAAATCTTTAAAGTTGTCTTGCTACAACTTTAGTTCAGGGGCTAGCAATACCAATTGGGGTTTGGTCTCAATCAGCTCCTCGAATAGAGCAACCTATGGCCATCTAGATGTTTTTGGATTTCAATACATCTCTCCCATAACCACTGATATTCAAAGATGAAAGTTGACTCAACCTTCCAAGGTCAGTAAAAATGAGGACCCAGATTGTTGGGGGCAATAGGCTGACTCTGTAAGTTGTTTACAGAGGGCTGTAAAAGCACTGTGAAGTGGTATATAAGTCTAAACCCTATTACTGTGATGAGAATAGTTCTCTAGTTGTGTTTTCAAAGGTCTGCAGATTCTCAATTCCTGATAGGACAATTCTCGTTCACTTGTCTCAGAAACCCCAGAACTTTCCCTGACTTTATACTGTAAAACTGTGCATATTGGCATCATATGATGGACTCAGAATAACTAGTATTTTTTTCTTAGCAACCCTTTCAGCTAGCTAGCTGGTGGTTTGTCTGTGAGAATCAAGTCAGTGTTGACTCCTGGACTGGTTTCTGCAGTTTTCTTGGCAAGGTTGCAGAAGTGGTTTGTTGATGTAGTTGCTGCAGCTGCCAATAGGACTTACACCACGTATTAATATTGTAAAAGGATGTTTCGGTTGTTGGTTGTGGTGCTGAAAACAGTGGGGCCAGATCTTCAGATAACTTCTAGGTAGTTCCTGCTTCAGAAGATGGACTTTCTAAGCAATTTATGCCGTTGCTTATTTTGAGATGGTTATCGAGATGGTTATCCAAAGCCCAACAGGAGAAATCATTTCAGTATTCAATATTTCAGTATAATTTCAGATACAGATCTGCTCCTACCATCTAAATCAGAAGTCCCCAAACTTGACAATTTTAAGACATTTTAAGACATAGCTGGCTGGAGAATTCTGGTCCACAAGTCTTAGAGTTGCCAAGTTTGGGGACTCCTGATCTAAATAGCCATGTGAGGTTTTATAACATCTTTTGAAAAGCTTCATATGGAAGATCTCATCCACAGCCAGTTAGAAAAAAAATACGGTTATTTTGTTCATTTCATGTTGTTCTTCCCTGTTCCTCAACCTCAGAACCAGATCTATGTGCTTCTCAGAAGTGCTTTTAAAAAGTTAGTGAAGATTCTCAGTCTTCCAAGTAAACATAGCTGGAAGTTGAGGCATGGCAACTGGACCTCTTTCCCTTTTGGTTTGAAAGGTTTCACTGCTTATCCGAGTCGCTTCTTCGGTCAAGAGTGAACTAAAGAAGCTACTTGCATAAGCAGCAGAAGGTTTCAAGCCAAAATTGGGGGAAAAAGAAAATCCAGTTGCCAAGACTCAACTTCTGAACTACTTTTAAAAAGCCGCTAAAAGGGCAGTGAAACCAAAGAAGCATGCAGGCTCTTAAGAAATGGCCTCAGAACTACCAATTGCAACAAAAAGGTCATCTCAAAAGCTCCTTTGGTGGTTATAGAAGAATTCTTACACATTGATACTAAGATGGATTCCCAGAGAGTAAGCTTCCTCACTAACCACCCTGTCATGTTCTCTCAACAGACAGACAGACACAATCCAATCTTATATATATAAAAGCGAAAGACCACTCATGCGTCATCACAAAATCTCCAGAACCGTAAAGCCTACAGACTTGAAATTTGGCACGTATGCTCCTCTTGGTTTCTAGGTGCTCACTAAGAAAGGATTTTTGGAAGTGACCATTGGAGCATTAGTATTTCCTATATTATTATTAACATGCTCTGATGCTAAGGAGTTCTACTCCCCCTCCCCACCTGAAAAGAAATCTGTCCCAAATACAAAACACAAGCAGAGGAGAGGAGTTTCAATTTCAGTTTCACAGCACCAAGCAGCTTTAGTGCAGAACAGTTGAGTTAAGCCATGACCAGGCTCTTTGCTGTCTCCTCCTTGCTCACACAGCAAATACTGCTTCAGTTTCCAAACAGCCCTCAACTCTCATACACTGACACGGACGCTAGCCAGATGAATACCGATGGATGCTGGTAGGCAGAGCCAGAAATGCCCCCCTCCATTTTCCTCCCCCAAAACTAAGCCCGACCACATAGTTTCATGGCGAAGCACGAGTACCCAGCAGTCTCATATAAAAAAAACCAAAAGCTTTAAAAATGGGGAAAAAACCAGTATGCAAGGGCTGTCTCCCGAAAGGTAGTCAGGCCAAGAAATCCACTTGATTTCATTGATATTTTAAATTAAACGGTGTCCCTGTTAATGATTCCTGTCTCAAGCCTTTACTCGCTTTGTCCTGCAAAACTTTAAAGCTTCATGTTGGCAACCCATTTTGAAGACCTTTTGAGGCAGCACTTGAGGTCTCGCAATTCAAGGAACTTTGGTTGTTCCCTTTGAATATAAAATGTCTTTAACCGTCAAAAGCAGGAAGTTGAATTGTTCTGGAAAGCTTGAGTGGAGCCTGATGAAGGGGTAATTAAAGAACTTTTAATGCTGAGCTGGACCAAGTCTTGCTGACTTTGATGAGCTACACAGATTGTTACCATCTCTTCAAATATGCAACCTTAGTCTCTATCATCTTGTATCACTCTTAATAAAATAATGTGGGAGAAAAAAAAGAAATAATAGAAAGGCCCTTTTTAATTGGTTGGTTGTCTCAAGATATACTATTTGAACGGTTTAGGGAATTCTAATTCTTCAGGAGGAAACACCTGCTTATTTCTTTTATCAAAGCAACACCTGCCTCTTGCTTTCATGTATTTAAAGCAGAAATACTACTTCTACCTCTCTTGCAGGTTTGACAATTGGTTTATGGCACCTTTTTCTCTGATTTCTGCCAACTTGGCTTCAAGGAGGCCTCAGAGTCAGATACAATCAATCCAAAGATCAAGACTGTTCAAAACATTAAAAGGTTTTCATTACAAGGAATAAAATTCTGGTCATAATTTAGCATGGTTACGTTCTTTTATGTTGATCACAAGATAATTTTTTCTGCAGTTCCCTTCCCTTTCCACTTCTCCTTCCTGTTCCTCTTCCCCCTCTCCTCTTCCGCCTCTTCCTCCTCCACCTTCCTCTTTTCATGGTATGGGAAGGTAAAATCTTTTGTGAATCTAGCATAATACAAGATGCAAGTGTTAAGGTACAAGTGGCCTTTAGAAAGCTGATAGAGCTGATTAAGAAGAGAAACAATTCTTAAACTCATGTAGAGAAACGTTGAATCTCATTAGAGCCATCCTGTTGGAATTGCCTTCCTATGTTCCAAATAGGGATCCAAATTTTAAAGCACTCCATCTTCTGGACTCTTTTGTTTTTATTTTGAATTGTATCAGGCGTGGGATCTTCTTTTAACCAGCTGTCAATTAATGCACGAGGGGACTTCCCCTTTTAAGAGTTCATCATTTGTGTTACTGTTGTGTCGCTGCCTTTCGTCGGGACATTGTGGTGGATTGACTCACACCTTGCTCTGTGTAACAGATGTTGTACATTTTCATTTTTAAGATTGGTTGCTATGCAGCTATGAAGAAGAAGATCTACGCGATGGGCGGGGGTTCATATGGAAAGCTGTTTGAGTCTGTGGAATGTTACGACCCAAGGACTCAGCAGTGGACAGCCATCTGCCCACTGAAAGAGAGGAGGTGAGTAAGATATTAAGATTTATTTGGTGGCGCAGTGGTTAGAATGCAGTACTGCAGGCTACCTCTGCTGACTGCCGGCTGACTGCAATTTGGCAGTTCAGATCTCACCAGGCTCAGCCTTCCTTCCTTCCGAGGTCAGTAAATGAGGACAATATGCTGACTCTGTAAACTGTTTAGTGAGGGCTGTAAAAGCACTGTGAAGTGGTATATAAGTGTATTGCTATTAAGATTTACGGCCAGGTGACTAGATCCATCCACCATTTCCCTACTCTCACAAGCCGTTCAACGTTTCACAGACTAAACCTGGAATCTTCTTTATCAATCTTAGATTTAAGCATTAACCTGGCCGTCATAGGTGTTGAAATTTTTGTTCAGACGAGAAAGAAGTCTGTTGCAGGGAGGTGACCTTAGCAAAAGGTATTTTCACCTCTGGCCAGGCAATAGACTAGCCGCCTGCATTTCTTTTCAGACTATGGAGAGGGAATGAGTGGTATCGAGGCTCTTTGGCTAGGATTTTTTTTGGTTCTATTCCTTTTTAAAAGCCACGTTTCCAAATTTTTTAAAAAGTAAAGGTTTCCATTCACTCTAATTACTGAATTATTTTCTTTACCTGCTCTAAGTAATTGACCATAATGATATTGTTTTCGAGAACAATGAATTCGTTAGCAATTTACATGCACTCAAATGTAAATGGGTCCCTGTTTTGTGTGAAGTAGGATGGGAAAACCTTTTCTACTGTTTTTAAAGGCTGCCAATGAGTAGAATTAAAGTGTTCGGCCTCTAATGGAAATTGACTTCCATGCCATTGTGAAAGTGTATAAATTAATCCATGGCCAGAAACCTTCTTAACGGACATAAAGAAGAATGGATAGCCTGTTTAGTGAGATTCCTTAAAGTCCTTTGTTTGTGAGATGGTCAGCCATAAAAATTTAGCAAAGAAAGAAAGAAAGAAAGACAAGGATGAGCTAGCATCCCCAATAAGCAAAGGATTCTCATCCTTTAGACTTCACCTGAGCTGTGCAGGGGAATAAGAGGCAGGAATACTAAGGCAGCAGCTTACGCCAAAGAAATATACCTACCCAAGCCTGGATGAGGTTGGATGAAATCGCTAAGACAACATGGGAAGGGGTTAGTAACGTGTATGCTGAGTTAATGTACATGCTTACATGTCTCATCTTCCACTATTTTTCAGGTTTGGGGCTGTGGCGTGTGGTGTGGCTTCAGAGCTCTATGTCTTTGGTGGAGTGAGAAGCCGTGATGACAATCAAACCAGTGAGATGGTGACGTGCAAATCGGAATTCTACCACGATGAATTTAAAAGGTAAATCTTTGCTCTCTAACGGAGTCTCATCAACTCTACAATCAGTTGGCTGTTGCCTTGTGTGGCCCTTGGCAACTTCACTGAAGAGCATTTATAAGAGCTGCACCTGGGGAATTCTCAATTGCTCTCCCTCTAGCCAATAAAGTCGACTTTGATTGATTATCTCTGCAGATAATCCTTCTCGGTCTTGTCACTTGGTATCTTCGGTTGGCTTGAAACCTGGATCTTTGGCAGGGGGGGGCAAATCATTGCTAAAGCTCTTTCCCTTCAAAGGAAATGCACCTTGCGGCATTCGTGAGTACATTTGAGTGCAGCCTGCCCTTGTAGATAGAAAGTGGGTAGGAGTGTCAATATAGACCAACCAGCTCAATTTTTGGCCTGAATCTACAATGATTTATATATTCCATGGTTTCCAATGCTTACTTCTATAGGGTTGTGCAAAACATTATTCAGTAGCTTCCCAGAACAGCAATCAATCAAATCTTTATTCGGTTGTAGACCAGCATGTAGAATACAGAAATCAGAGTTAATTAAAATGAAATGTAAAAGAAATGTGCAGATAAACAGAGAGATGAATGGGTGGGTTGGTGGATATTCTAAACTAAGGATAGATAGATTAGATAGATGATAGATAGATAGATAGATGATAGATAGATAGATAGATAGATAGATAGATAGATAGATAGATAGATAGATAGATAGATAGATAGATTGATAGATAGATAGATAGATAGATAGATAGATAGATAGATAGATAGATAGACAGATAGACAGATAGATAGATGATAGAGGATAGATAGATGATAGATTGATAATGGATGGATAGATAGATAGATAGATAGATAGATAGATAGATAGATAGATAGATAGATAGATAGATAGATAGATATTCTAAACTAAGAAGGATTGAAATTAATCCTACAGCATAAAGGGCAGAATGTTGAGGAATACATAACTGTAGACAGAGCATGAAGCATGGAAGCTGCTGCAACCTTTGGAGGGCTCATCGCCACTTTGAAAGGTATCCCTAATTTTCTGAGGATGCAAGGACAAGCCGCCTTCTGCATCAGCCAGGTTAAGAAGCAAACCCCACAGGGATCCCTGGAATGCCACTACATTATTGTAAGAACAATGTTCTTCAACTTGGTTACTTTGTGGATTTCAACCCCCAGAATTCCCCAGCCATGTGGTAAAGGTATAATAGCAGAATCGTAGCCCATCCATGTTTCTTTATACTAAATAACATCAATGCAAAGTTTATTTTGAATACTTCCTCATCTTCCCTTTTACTTTGGAACAGTGCAACCTTCGTATTTACCTTCTGTTTGAGACCCCGTGGTCAGGTCTAAATTCTTTTACACCCTTGAACGTGTTACGAGAAATGAAGGTGTGCGTCAACACACACCTGAAGACAGCCAGAGACAGTCAGGTCTCTGCTGCTTTCTATTCTTCCAGAGGAATGCATCACTTGCTCTAATGCAGGG